ATACTGTCCTGAAAATACATATACAGGTACGGAAAGTCCCCATGGTTCATCGGCCGTTACGTGAAAGCGATAAAGTAAGTCATAGAAATCCGTGCGATAGAGAAGGATGGCTATAATGAAGGCGTCTCATAGTCACCGCCCGTTTCGCCCTTCCACAAATAAGATCCACTTCCACTTGTAATTCAGCGACCGGTGGTCATCTTTGTTTTCGTCGTTTGCCTTTTCTGTAATAGATGTCACTACTTATACAATTCCGACTTGGTATTCCGATATGTTAATACAATCGCAGCACAATTTGTCTAAGGTGAGGCGCAGCCCTAGAAAGAGTAATGCCAGATTTACAGATTTTTTTGGAATTGGGGAAACAGGCAATTTTGTTTTAGTTCTTGGGATTTTTAAGTTATTTTAAAAAGTATACTTAAATAACGACTAAATAAACTTTAAATGCAGCTGGACATTTGATTAACTTCTCAGTAGGGGAAACAAGGTCACTAGATTTACAAACAGAGGTATCTACTAGCTACTGTAAAAAGTTTTCTTTGTTACGCGTTGTGCTGCCCTCTGCAACGGATTGTATTAACATATCGGAATACCGGAGTCGAAATTGCATAAGTAGTGACATCTATTAAAGAAAAGCCAAACGACGAAAACAAAGATGACCACCGGTCGCTGAATTACAAGTGGACGTGGATCTTATTTGTGGNTTGGAGGCAGTACAGCGCACACGTTAAGGAACTGTCCACGAATATCGTGGAGAACTTCCACGGGAAAGAGGTCAAGTGTTGTCCTAAATGTCTACAGGTAAGTAAAAAGAAAGTGTAGGTGTCGTTTAACTTTTAGTTTCCCTGTATTATCATTAGAGATAGGAAATGTTGGGGCGGCCATTCTTTTTTATATACTGTCCCGAAAATACATATATAGGTTCGGAAAGTCCCCATGGTTCATCGGCCGTTACGTGAAAGCGATAAAGTAAGTCATAGAAATCCGTGCGATAGAGAAGGATGGCTATAATGAAGGCGTCTCATAGTCACCGCCCGTTTCGCCCTTCCACAAATAAGATCCACTTCCACTTGTAATTCAGCGACCGGTGGTCATCTTTGTTTTCGTCGTTTGCCTTTTCTGTAATAGATGTCACTACTTATACAATTCCGACTTCGTATTCCAATATGTTAATACAATCAGCTAACAGAGGGAAGCACAATTTGTCTAAGGTGAAGCGCAGCCCTAGAAAAAGTGATGCCAGATCTACAGATTTTTTTGGAATTGGAGTAATAGGGAACTTTGCTTTATTTCTTGAGATTTTTAAGTCATTTTAAAAAGTATACTTAAATAACAACTAAATGAACTTTAAATGCAGCTGAGCAGTATATTCCATTTGAATAACTTCTCAGTATGGGAAACAAGGTCACTAGATTTACAAACAGAGGTATATACTAGCTACTGTAAAAAGTTTTCTTTGTTACGCGTTGTGCTGCCCTCTG